ATAGGAAGAAAAGTATTTTTAATTTTAACTTTGCACACGACTATTCAAAACAAATACTCAATATATTAATGAACAAATCTTTATTCTATTTTATTAAAAATACTTCACTAAGAAATGTGAGTTTATGTATGTGAAAGACTTGTAATATTAACTGAAAAACTGCCAAATTTTTAGAAGATATACTAACTATATTGAGAGTTATAAGTATTAAATCTACAAAGGCTTTAGATGAGTACAAAAAGGTCACGTGGTCGGTCAAATTGACCAAGCCTGTATTGAAAGTGTTAATGGTATATTTTGCCATTCTTAATAAAATTTTTTTAGAAATGTTTAGATCACATTTGTATTGAACTGAATCAAATGGACAATCCCTCCATAAAAATACTAGCTAAAGGCTTGAGGTAATGTTCCATTTCTTTAAGGTTTACTTGACAATTTAATAAGACTTTTTATGAAAATCAGTAAAGTTTTTTAAGAATTTTAACTGATATCCACAAAAATTACAAATTTAGACTACACAGAAGATAAAACGGCTTTTAGTGTTCCTATACCACTTTTGACCAGCAAAATTTTTTTCACTTCTTAACATAGCATTTACAAGTCCTTTACAGACAGAAACAGCTTCAAGAATTCAACATTGCTTAAGAATTAAGACCTAACTTCATTACCCAACTAATTTTTGTAGTTTCCTCTTTATCCTACAAAAAAAAGTTTAAAATGTTTTAACATGTTCTTAAGAAAAACTTGGTTTAAAAAATACTTGTCCATATCAGTACTGAAAGAACAGTATGTAAGAAAGTTTTTATCAGGTTCAAGCATAATTTTATTATGCACTTTAAAAAATTACTCACTTGGCCCACAATACTGGATTTTCAGCTTGCTTCTTAGCAATCTAAAATAAAATGTAACAAATTAAGAACAAATATCTGATCATTTAATTTTAGGGTTAGTGTTCTTACTTTAACAATCACATTTGTTTTCTTCCTTTGGCATAATAAGATACATAATTCTAAAAACAATATTTTACATCTTAGAAATAAAAGTTTCTTTTCAAAATTTCTTAGTGTTATACAGTATAAACATACCACTTATACAAATGCATCTAGTGTGCAATCAAAATCACCAAAATAAACAAATGGATAGATACTCACTTCAATTTTTTGTACTTTTTTTTTGAAAGCACATTCATTATTATTAAAAAAAATTGGATAATTACATGATCTGTTCTTTAGGTCAACATTTGTTAAATATTAAAATTCATATATATTATGGTATGGATAAAAAAAAGCCTCACATCTAATTGGTAATAGGTACATAGCAAAAAGTTATTTAGTGCAATAAAAAAAAGTAATTATAAAAGACATCCGATAAACATCCACTACTTTCTTCTGTGAAGTTTCATTTAAAACTAATTCTGTCCATTCCTACATACGCAGTGCTACCACCTGCCTGGTATGTTACACATTCCTGTAATAAGTTTAAAAACACCTGAAATATAGATTTTATTGAACATTTTATTTGCCTATGCTTGTTATTTTCTGTTTCTAATTATCTTTAATGAATAAAGTATTAAAGCACACAATGCAAACCAAAACAGGGCTCAAGTTTAAGAACATTTCCAGGTTGTCCTTCACACAACCTGACCTGTATCAGAGGTTGTCTGGGAGGCTGTATTTGTTGTTCAAAAAAAATAAAAAAATAAATACACAGTCCCTCAAAAAATATCCAATTACGATAATATTGATGTTTTTATATCTATTTATTTCCAAAAAGTACAATTAATGTTTACTTGGCAATTTTGCATCGTTATTCAACGATTTTTTGACACCTTATTTCCTGAGAAGTTTTGTTACACTGGGAAAAATAAGCCCACACCATGCTAATATTACATAGTATCTTAAGGAAACAAACAGTCAATAACCTGTAAAACTTTTAAACTGAACAGCAAACTTGGTCTGCCCATAAATACAGCCTGTAGTATGATTAGACTTGCATCAGAACTCTCACACATACTACTATACCATAATACGTACACAATGTCTGAGCGGTGCACATGTACACATACATACCGCTAATATGTATTGTTGTTCATACTCATAGTTTGTATTGACTTGAAGAGAGGCAAACTGATCAAAATTTTCATAAAATTTTGTTTGCAGTTATCACTATTATGCTCTGCTTAATTCGTGTATTCTCCTGCTTTCCTAGTCTCGATTGGTCTTGTATGTCTAACATTAGCCTTAGGCCAATACGTGCATAATCGAAAGGGGGGGGGGTCAGTGTTTCAACTGTGATGATTAACGATGAAATTCTGAATTTCATTTTGTAAATTTGATCATTTTAATTCTGAAAGTTCATCAGTGAGAAGCTGAGACAGCCATTGTCGTAAGCATCTATACTAAAAATTAATCTCCCTAAATATTATTGTTATTGGCATTCATTTTCGTTGCAAATTCCCCACCACCCATATATATGCATAAAAACATTGCACAATACAATGTCTGATAATAATAGTTTCATTACTGATTAAGTATGTATACATATATATATATATATATATTACAATTTTTTTACATTGGTTAAATGTTGATTTAAATATTATAAATTTTTTACCATTAAAACTTGTGTACTTGAGGATGATCGCACCAGTGATTGAAACTTCGTACTTGTTTTAAATATAAATCTTACTTACTAAAAAATGCTGTAACTTGTAAAAAAAAAAAAAAAAATGTATGATAATGTAACTAACTGAGCTGTATAGACTGTACTGTGTTACCACACACAGCCATTTACACTCAGTTGTACTCCATACAAAATTTACATGCAGCTTGTCCATGATAGAAAGTTGAGTCACTAAAACTTTTTCAGCCCCTCTTGTACAAAGTACTATCTTTTTCACCAAAAAATGGCCCAAAAGATATTTTTGTGATGGTTCAAATTTTCAAGTTTGTAGTTAAAGAATTCTCCAATGATTCTGATCAAGGATCGTAGTGAACATTATGTGTGTAGTATGGGCATGGATAAGTGTACAGTAGACTACGATGCTATTATGAGTAAGGATCTGTTCGAGGGTGCTAGTCATCCGTCGGACAACACAAGTCTTTAAATTGGTCATCCAAGGAAATTTTTACTCCTCTTGGACATCCATTAAAATCGAGCTCTGCAAAAGTGAAACACTTTTACTGGTCAGCTGCACTGACCACTGGCTATGCAAGGAAGAACTAAACAGATTTTACTAAGATGTAATATGCTTAAATAATTAAAATTTAGAACAAACTTTAATAAAAATCAGCATTTATAGAAGCCATAAAAAACTTTTCTCTGAAAAAACTTAATTTTTATGACATTTTTATTGGTCCTGAAACTACTGAAGTTTACTCCTGAATTTTGTCAATCTGTATAAAACATTTTCTCTAATATTCATACTTGGAAGTGTGTTCAAAATGCTATCGCTCAACTATAGTTGTTTAACTCTTAAACTTTTATTGAACCATACAGGTAAGAAGTATATAAATTTGAAGCATGCCTCTAAAATGTTTACCTCTGCTAAATATTTTTAACAAAACCCATAAATATATGACCTGCAGTTGTATCTAATGTTTTAGGTTATACCTTTATTAGAGACATATCTTAAATTCAATAAATCTTCAATAAAAATAGAATAAAAAAAGGTGAGTCTGTTATTAATATAAATAGCAGTTTGACCACTACTTTGTTGTATTCCAACCATCCTATAAATTCTGATCTTTGGCAAAATACCTCATAAACAATGGATATAGCAGACATAGTGTGTTTGACATATTATTAAATTCATCTTTACATTCACTCAGAAATTATTATAATTACTTAATAAATTAAACATCCAGACTTATTTATACATATTTTTACAAAACATTGTCACTGGAAATCACAGAACAAATTGAAACTGACATAAAATACTTTTAAGTCTAATATAAAGTAAACAACTTTCTTCATAATATTCAAAATAAGGACAAAATAGATATCAAAACCACAAAAGTACCCTGCTGGCTGTTCGGATTTCCTGTTTGGTTCTTCTTGCCATAGGACTACTAGGCTGAACACCTAAGGTGTTTCCAACACGGAAGAAAGATTTAACTGGGTGTGTGTGGAAAAGTTGTGGATTTAAAGTTCCAAATTCTTGATAGCTAAATTCTGTACCATTTGGAAGACCAACAGGCTCGGGAGAAGCTATAAACACAGTCCTGTCACTCTGTTGATGTTCATCTGACTCCAGAAGTCGCTGCTGATCTGAAAGTTCACCAGCTAGGTCTACTCTGTCTGTACATTCATCAAAAAATGCTAAACTGACATTTTTGTCAGACACAAATGACCGCTCTTCAATAAATCTTATAAACATCTGAGTTTTGGTCATCAAATTGTAAAATCTATGATGTGTTTTGTCCCTGCTCTTCAAAAAACCTGCAGAATAAAAGAGTATTCAAACTGATTTATAATACACATTACTAAATCCCAAATTCTTTATGGGGTTAATCAAGACCTAAAAGACCAATACTACAACATGTAAATGTTTGAATGAATAATGCAAAATATCAATATCAAGGATAAATGAACAGTTTCATGTTACAATTTGAAGTCATTCTAGAAAGAAGAAAAAGGTAACTTGGATTTATTTTGTTTGTTTTTTTTGGTGGTTATTACCAACCTTGTATAGAGTTAAGTGTAGAAAATAACAGATAAAATATAAAGTTTTACTGAAAACTAACATTTGAAATGTATTTAGGAGGTTTTAGAGATTATGTAAATGAAATTTAAGATTTTTGAGATGAAGAAAAGTATTTTTTAATGAAAATCACTTTGTACTCAAGACTAGTAAAAGAAAAGACTCAATATATTAATGGACAAATCTTTGTTTAGCTTATTAAAAATACTTCACTAAAAATCTGATTTTTTGTATGTGAAACACTTACAACGTTTACTGAAAGTCTGCCAAATTTTGTAAAGATATACTTAATATATCAAAAGTTAGTAGTATCAAAACTATAACAACTTTAAATGATTACAAATTGGTTGATTAAATCGATCGAGCCTGTGTGGAGAGAGTGAACGTAAAAATACATGCCAAAATTACCGGGTAACTAAAGGCATAAAAATTGCAATCATTCTGACAAAATTTTTAAGCTATTTTAGTTTAGCAATGTACAAATAACAGCACCAAACAAACCTTGTCCATCAAAAAGAGAGCTTGGATCTGTTGCTCCAACAGTTGGAGCACAGGGAATAGGAAGAAGATATGATCGGAACCCTTTCAAAATAGCTGCCATAAAGCGAAGAAAAGCCTCCTGAATTTCTAGTTCCAGCTGATGCTACAGATAAAAAATCAATAATTAAAAAATCTTATTGATAAATGTTTATGAGCATATCCAGTTAGTTTCAGTTTCATATATACACAATCAAAAATTGTCAAACACACTCTTATTTCTAATCACGACACTTTTAAGAAGTAAAATCACAAATAAGTCACCACAATTTAGTTTTAAACACTAGCTTTCCTATGTACAAAAACTAAATAATTAGTTCTCTTTTAAACACACATGAATGTAAAATATTTTTTCATCAGTTGCCAGTAAGTCCCATATAATTTCTCTTTGTTCAGTTCTTCTTTAGAATTTAAAGCAATTTTTATACTCCAACTGTGAGTTAAAAACAATAAACTGTACATGCTTTAAACTATTAAACTTTTCTGCCCTTGTTTTTCCTCTAATGAAAACATATTAAGATGAAATTGTCTAGAACAATTATCTATAGATAATCAAAATATCAACAAAGACTGTAAAAGTACAAGGATTAAATCCTAATCTGGCTCTGTACCACATCCAGTTTAAGGCTATATTACAAAGTTCACATCTACATAGCTGCACTAATGTTAAAATTAATGCTTTATTAAAAATGTAGCTTTGAAAAAAAATGTTTACGTTTTAAAACATACACAACATTGCAAACACAGCTGACTGTCTGATAAATGACGACAGGAATATTCATTCACACAGTCACATAACATGTGGGATCCCAGAGCCACTGGCTGAAATTCTTTTTTCTAATAACTTGTAGTACATATATTTTTTCACAACTTGGATTACAAGTTATTTTTCCTGAAATACTTAGGAATAAAATTATACTGGTAGCTTATACGACACAATACAAAAATGGTATGAATGAAATCCTATTCTGATAAATTTTGAGTTTTGATGACATTTCATGTTTGAAATTAAGGATGAAAAGGTGTTCGAATACCATAGTTATAATGGATGTCTTAATACGAATTTTTTGAGCTCAAGAAACACATTTCCTATCATTTTTAAATTACAAAAAATATATCTTAATGAGCTAATTAGCACTTTTTGCAGCTGCAAGAAATAAGACAGATATGAAATCCAGTCCCAAAAGTTCCTAACAGGGTAAGTGAAATCCCCCCCCCCTAAAAAACTAAATTATTATCCCCTGGTGATAAATTACAATTATATTGTATGTTACTCGATCCTAAAGTACAATATTATTTATGACTAATATCAAACAGGTTTACTGGTGACTTTAGTTTCTACACTGAAGATAACTACACAAAAATATTGTGTGTTATCCCTATATTTCATTCTTACTAACAGATATTTGGTTTAAAAATAAATGTTATTTGCATGAGAAAAATTATCTAAAAAAAGGGTGAGCTGAAAAAGGAAAAGTGCTAAGTTAATGAGCTGATCAAAAAAACTACAGTAAGTTCAGTGGAACTAAGTGCATGGGGAAACTAGTCAATAAGATGAGTTCATGTGTATGGGTAAAATAACTGTAAATAGCTGATTTAAGAAAAATAATTTTGTTTTACACACAAGGCAAAGTGCAAAGAAGAAAAATAACCTTTTAACAGGATGAATTAGGTGTATGGGTAAAAAAAAATTAATATTAAAACTACATGTTGTCTTTGGATACTGTATAGGGAACTATAAAACTCTAAGCTAGGTGAATGAGGTTTGTTTTTGTTTATAGAAAAGTTACTAAACCTATCTGCCACTGTCCCTAACTTTGAACTGCCAACCACAGGGAATTGCTCATTCTCGGGATACTGTTTACCAATATAAAATTGGATTGATCATCACATTATAATACCCCCATGGCTAAAAGGGCACATATTTGGTGCTGAGTTTTAATACCACAAACCACAGATTGGTAGTTAAACATCCTAACCACATGGCCATGCCAGGTCAAGTGCATGAGGAAAACCTAAGCAAGAAGTTAAGTGCATTGGAAATTACACATAATTAACAAGTTAAAATATTAAAGCGTATAGGGAAAACTACCCAAGTAATAAGTTGAGATAACTGACGAGGAAAACACTTGAGTTAAAGGCACAGGAACAAGGTAACATTTACTTAAGAGTTTTTGTCACTTACAATTTACAAAACTATGGAGTTTTAACTGTCACAATGAGAAAAACAACAAATCAAGTTGTTCTGAAAACAAAAACAAAGAACAATGTCTTGATTAATTTGTATTAGAAACATGATTACTAACAAGAAATGTTATAAGTTGTAGCAGTTATACTAATTAAGGACAGTCCAAATATTAGAAACCAATGAATAAAGTATATATTACCATGTTTTGGCAAAATATAAGTATTGTAAAAAATTAAGCTTATAAAAAGACTCTTTGCTTTACTAACCAACATCTAAATACACCTCAAAGCTTGAAACTAAAGTAATACAAGTATAAACTTAATTCTTTATAAAAGACTCTTAGCTTTACTAACCAACATCTAAATACACCTCAAAGCTTGAAACTAAAGTAATACAAGTATAAACTTAATTCTTTATAAAAGACTCTTAGCTTTACTAACCAACATCTAAATACACCTCAAAGCTGGAAACTAAAGTAATACAAGTATAAACTTAATTCTTCATAGTGACAGAGCTAAACAATAATAAAAGATCACATATAAGTTTTTCTCTTGACTTCCTTCTGTACTAGTTTTTGCAGTGAGGTTGCTTAATTAAAAGAACAGACTTGCACATATAAACGATATAAAAAGAAAGAATTACAATGTAATTACAAAACAGAAGGAAACTAGTATGCAAGTTTAAAAACTTTGAAGCTCTATTTTTTTTTATAACTATGCTAAACAATCTGTATATGTAATGAATGGTCAATAAAGAAACAAAATAAATGATACGGTCTAAATGTAAATTAAATGAGTTAATGGGCAATCATTGTTTACAGTGTAAGTAACAAAGAAGTGTAATATATGTGCTTTCTAATTCTGTTACACTTTTAGTAACAATTGCACATGCTAGTCACAATACAGTTTTGTTCAACCAAGAGGCAACCACTATTATAGATAATATTAATATATTGTAATGCATGTACACAGTCTGCATTATGATCTTCAAACATATTCACTTTGTGAGGTAGAGTTCATTACTGACTAAAAGCTTAACAAGCTAACAAAACTGTCCTCTACAAAACACATAATTACTGAACCTCTATACTGAGAATTTCATCTCATGATATTAAACTTGAGTATCACATACAAGGATTTTGTCACAAGATTCCTAGTAGTTACTAATATGCTATGTCAAAAGGAGTTCATAGAATGTCACTAGCAGACAAGGATTTGCAATAAATCATATATATATTGCAAAACAATATCTGTATCCTGTAGTATTTCACATCACTGTTGTTTTTCTTTCAAACGCATATATTAACAGAACTGCAATTAAAGTATTGAACATCAACATAAAATAATATTGTTTGGCTCTAGATACATAAACAAAATGTTTAACACAGAAGCTAGGTATTGTAGTTTCAGGTTTTTATCATCAGTAAATCTGAGAATGCCACACAATAAACAACTATAAATTCACTAATAAATAACTTAAAAATTTTATTGAAAATCAGTTTTAGTTACCTCTATTTTCTTGATCTTGAAATCATGGTCTAAAGGGGTTGTCTTATATGAAGAACTTCCCTGTAAATTAGCTGCTGCTTTATGTGACCAACTCATTTTTCTCATTCTGTCATAAAGGACTTGAAGAGTGTTTCGAAGCACTCGAGCAGGTCTCTAACAAAATCATTCAATTATTACTTATATTATTAATGCTAAGAAAACATAAAAACTGATATTAGCAATAAAAGCAAATAAAGACTGATCTTTAATCTTTTGTGCTAAGAATTGAAATTCCTCTATATTCATATAAACATACATTAAGATGCGGAGAAATTTCAAGTTAAATTTCGAGAATACAACCCATTTGGTATAAATTCTTAATATAAGGCAACATTAGTAAGGAATACAATTATTACACTAAATAAGTATTGTAAAAAGTTTTCTACCATAAACCATTTAATTCTATATTGAATAATATAACTTCAAACTAATTATAAACATGGCTCTAATAGCACAGTATAGCAACTAACCTCCACCCTATGAAAACAAAGTAAGTTGTAAAAGTGTTTGTCAGTGTATTTGGATGCTACACTAATACACATTACTGGATTTAGGTGGGATAATTCCACATGGTTGCTATACTACAATACATTACTGGATTTAGGTGGGTTATTCCTACATGGCTGCTACACTAATACACCAATTAACCCACCTAAATCCAGTAATTTAATGTGTAGTAGCATAGCAGCTATGAGGAATTAACCCATCTAAATCCATTAATGTGTAGTAGCATAGCAGCGATGAGGAATTAACCCACCTAAATCCAGTAATGTGTAGTAGCATAGCAGCTATGAGGAATTAACCCACCTAAATCCAGTAATGTGTAGTAGCATAGCAGCTATGAGGAATTAACCCATCTAAATCCAGTAATGTGTAGTAGCATAGCAGCTGTGAGGAATTAACCCACCTAAATCCAGTAATGTGTAGTAGCATAGCAGCTATGAGGAATTAACCCACCTAAATCCAGTAATGTGTAGTAGCATAGCAGCTATGAGGAATTAACCCACCAAAATCCATTAATGTGTAGTAGCATAGCAGCCATGTGGTGGATTTTGGTGGGTTAATTCCTCATAGCTGCTATGCTACTACACATTTCTGGATTTTGGTGGGTTAATTCCTCATAGCTGCTATGCTACTACACATTACTGGATTTAGGTGGACTAATTCCATATTATGATATCTATTTGCCACCTAAGACTTTTGCTTGTTGATACAGGAGTTTGACCATTATGAAAACTGACATGCCAATTCAAGGCTATAAGTATTACATATCTCTGCTAGTAGCTAATATAATAATGATTTGTTTCATCAATTTTTTCCTGTTTCATCAGGAGTGACCATCTATATAAACCTACAACTGGCTACAGACAATAAATGATGGTTTAAGTAATAGGTTAGAGCATTCACATCTACTCATAACTTATATTTTAATTAATTTTCAGTGTAATATAGATAACGGTTAAATGCACCCTTATTGTTGTATTGTCCTACTACTACTATGCATATCTCTGCAACGATGCAAATTTTACTTTAATATATGGTTAGTAATTTAATTTCATAATCAAAAGGTTATGAGTTTCAATCTCTCATGCCTAGATGTTGTGTCCTTAAGCAAGAACTTTACCCCATATTTGCTTTAGTCTACCCAGCAGTGAAAATAAGTTCCAGTTAATAGCTGGGCTTTAACCTGTGATGGATTGGCATCTCATCCACAGAGGCACTGGTCTTACGTGCTTTACAGACAAGATGGATTAAGTAACTGAATCATCCCAAACAATTCCAACAAGATCAAGTTTTATACAAAATGTTTATAACACAGAGAGACAGACATTGCCAGTGAAGCAAGTTAGTGAAATATAAGTTCATCTAACTCTTTAATACTAACAAAAACTACGCTAATGACTAAATAAATACATTGCTTTCTAGTTCTTACACTCAAAAATGCTTGAGTGCTATACAATGTAAACCTACAATTATGATGGAACAAGCTGTATAATTATAATCATTCAAAACAAATTTACAGATGTAATATTATTATAAATTTGTAAGTTATTTCTAATGTTTAAATCAACATAATTTTATGCAAAAAAAGTGTATAATACAGTATGTTACCTTTGGAAGTAGTTTAGTATTCAAGCCTTTCTTTTCTTCAGGCCTATATGGCAAGAATATTGTATTACACAAGACTTAATTTCAACTTGAATTAACTTTTCTATACATTAAACGTAACATTTAAGAGTTTGGAACTAAAGTCATCTACTAATCATAACAGCAACAATAGTTTTATTTATTGAATCTGAACAACATATTTGTAACTTTGAACAATCTTTTATCATTGATTCAAAATAACTTTTTAAATACAGGATGATCACAATTATGTTAATAAAATTGTTTCCAAAAATAAATGGTACAAGTTTTTAAACAATTTCCATGTATTAATTCTTAACTACATTTATCTATAAATGTACCTGAGAATTAGTAACACTATCCAATTCATCCTTCCTAAACTCACACAACAATTAAATATATCCAACCAACAGGTACTTGATATACTGATGACTGTGTAACATAAAAATAATTTGTTCCCAGAAATATAATTAGAACAAAAGTAATGCAAAAGTAAATCTATTGAATGCATGACCATAAAGAAATAGTAGCAGTGATATAACTCACAACAGTTTATATGTAACAAATATGAACAGTTAATCTTTAAGCTCTCCTGAGGTAATTAAAAGTCTTTAATCTACACATAGAATAAGTACTCAAATAAAGATAACCTTCTTCAGGTATGGTTAGTAAAATACTGATAATGTGAATGTACAAAAAAGCAGTTAACTTACAAGAATATGTTATTAGTATCAAGGTCAACACAGGCAACATCATGAGGAGGATCACAGAGATCAAAATATCGTGAATCCACACCTGTAAAAAAAGGAGCTTTTAATGCCAAATAGAAAATTAAAGTAACGTTTTTATCACTTGGTCAAAATTTCACTGTTTATATCAAGAAGAAATATGCTGAATGAGCAAAAAGGTCTTCTGGTTAGCATGTTACAATAATAAAATTACACAAAAAAGTATGATTGCATTAAAAATTGAGAATAACATGCTACAATAAGTACAATTTAAACTACTAATTGTCAAGGCTTGTATCCATTATATTTTCTTTGGGAACTTTTGGAGACAAGAAAGTGAAAGTCCTACAAGACACTGGGTGCAGCAGTGAGAACTAGCCTAGTATCTTATGACCAGGTGACAGGCAAGGTACATCTGTGTATGCTGATTAATGGGACAGTGAGAAAGTTCCCCTAGCAAGAATGAAGGTCGACACTCCATACTATGTGGGAGACCTTGAGATCATGTGTATGAAGGCACTCATCTACAACTTGACAACTGGCAATATACCAATCTGTTGAAAAAGTACTTTACTTTGAGAGGGAAGAAGAAGACCTAATGGGTGCAGCTATTGAGGCACAAATGGACATTGCAGTTGTGGCTGTCATAGATGCAGAATCAGAATAAAGTGACTCTGTCACAGAAGACGAAGACCAACAAGACCTAAGACCACATACAAAGATGTCAACATCAATGATGAACTGACTGGCAAGCAGAAGAAGGAACTACAAGATCTACAGATCTGTCAGTATACAGATGTCTTCACAGATAGACCTGGTGAGACAGACCTTGTGCTACACAAAATGAAGAACACGACCAGATATCCAGTCAAGGTGAAGCCCTACCAGATGCCCTATGCAATGAGAGAACTGATCAAGCAAGAAATCAAGGCAATGTTAGAAGCTGGAATCATTGAGGCTACAAATTCAGTCTACTGTTCACCAGTGGTAGCCGTGAAGAAGGGGAATGGCTCAAACTGTTTCTCAATAGATTTCCAGAAGCTGAACCTTGTGATGAAGTTCGACTCTGAACCTATAGGCAACTCAGAGACTATCATGGTGAAACTAGACGGGGCCGAGTTCTTTACCAAGATCAACCTCACTAAAAGTTATTGACAGATCCCGATGAAGAAAGGATCTAAAGAGAAGACAGTCTTTGTGACACCAAATGGATGATACCAGTTCTAGAGGATGTCATTTGGGTTAGTCAACTCAGCAGCGACATTCATCTGCACAATGAGGAAGCTGTTGCACAAAACCACCAACATCAAGCATTATGTTGAGGACATTCTGACTCACACAGCTAGATGGGAAGAAACTCAGATAGTTGTTTAGGTGAGTGAAGGCAGCAGGTCTGACCATCTAAGTGCAACATCATTTATTCTGTGCTGGACTTTGTTGGGCACAAGGTGGTCAACCAACAGTTAGCCATGGAAAATGAGAAGCTGACTGTAATCAAGATGCACTACCCCCTATGACCAAGCAGCAAGTCAGATCCTTTCTGGGGTTAGCAGTATACTATAGGAAGTTTATCCTAAATTATGCTGAAGTTGCTGCACCACTGACTGGCCTGACCAAGAAAAGACAAACCAACAAGGTGAAGTGGGAATAACCACAACAAATGGAATTCAAGAAGCTAAAGAACATATTAGGAAGCTCGTCAATCCTTAGAATAGCAGACATCAAAACATCATTCATCATTCAGGCCAATGCCTCAGATCCTGGAATTGGAGCAGTACTTCTGCAAGACATGAAGACGGACTGTTTCCCATAATGTACGTCAGTAAAAAGATGTGGAGTAGTCAGAAGAACTACTCTGTGATTGAAAGTGTGTATCTGGCCATCACACTTGCCATTTGGAAATTCCAAACTACCTCGATGAAAATGAGTTCATCATCCAGATGGACCATCAGCCCCTTGAATATAAACAGAGGTGCAAAATTGACAGTGCAAAAATCATGAGGTGGGCATTGTACCTCTAGAACTACAGGTTTTCATTGAAGCCATCAAGGGGACAGCAAAGGGTGCAGACTGTATGAGTAGACTTTGTATATAGTATAACAAATATTGTAAATGCTTTTCTTGAAGAGGGGCTTATTGTTGGATATACATGACTGTTAAGTTAATATGAGTGTTATGATTTAGATGGTTTAAGTATAGTGAGAGTGTTAAAGTTAATTATTTTTAGAAGCAAGGGTTTATTACAGATTTGTTTATGTAACTGTGTGTACATACCATACAAACTTCAAAGTTTTTCTGATTGTTTCGATTGAGTATTATTACATCATAATATCTCATAGTGTGTAGAAAATTCTAGGCCTTAGTCAAGCTATAAATACACATACAAAATGATATATAGAGTAAGACAAAGTTAGATAGTTAGAAATAAAGATCAAGGCTGCTTGACTGTGAGTTTAGCCATAAAGAGCATATGGTGGTGATTTTTAAAGTGAAATTATCACAGATTGTGTTGTAACAACAGAGTAGAGAAGAATAACTCATCTTGTCAATTGGGTTCTAAAGTAACTGAACTAATCTGTGTGGACTTTGCTGAATATAGAGACAATTACTTAAAGCTCTGGATACAACTGTGACAAGCAACAGTGTAATGAGCATTTGTATATACATTTGAATTGTTTTAATATATTATTTTAAAAACAATTGGACTGTGTGCTGTTTGCTTACTATTGAAACTTATCACCAACAAGTCACAGGTACCTGCTGTAAATAATTCTGCCCATACATACATAACAACCTAACAGGAACCTAGGATATTTTGAAATGTTTTAACAGCTTTATTCGTTGAAAACTATAAATGTAAAAAAAAATTGAAGGGTGCATCAAAAAGTGAGAAAACAAGGTAGGAATGGGCATGGTATAACTTCCACTGTGCAATCTCACAAGGGAGCATGTCTAAAACATGAATACCTGAAATCATACTCAAAATGAATCCAAGTATTGAACACATCTTTGAGAAAATGGGCAATGAAGTCATATAAAATTAAAAAACATATATATAAATTATTAATGAGTCTATTGCAAAAATAAATATATCATATCTAAGGGGGAGCAAAAGGTTATGAAAACTGAGCCGAAACAATACCAAGGTTAAACTTTACTGGCCAGTAAATAATGAAGATGGTTAATTCTAGTCAAAGGCTGACCTGTACTAACAAAACAAATATCCATTAACAGGTTTTAAAATTCTTTTGAAAAAATAAATTTAAAAAACAAAGCTGAAAACAAATCAGCAATAATAAATACAGGGAAAAACAAATTCAGAATATCTTTACTTACAGGTTTACAAATGAAAATCACAGCTCTGCTCAGAATCACATGGTCTGTGACAAAAAATAATGTTTCATAGATGGGATATCAACTGAGATAGGTAATCATTAAAGTAACTTTGTGGTGAATACAAGCCTCAATGAGGTAGCAAGTATTTTTGTTGTTCATTTCTGGTATTTTTTAATTCTTATACTATTATTAATAAAACTAGTATCATTATATTTCTGATACTTTTGTGTTTAGGAATTTTTAAAAATGAAAAAAGATTCTTAAAGAGCAAAAAAAGTGTGTTAAAGAGAAATTCTATAATCAATAAAAGATGCATAATGATAGAAAAATATTGTGTTAAAAATTTTTGAAAATTCAGTGCTACAAATGAAAATTCTGATATTTTGTTCTTCAATCATTCAAGTTGAAACTAGATATTCCATTTTTATATCAACTGGTACAACTTATAACTGGATATATAAACATATAACTCACCAACAATATATGGAAGAGGAGCATTTAGAACATCTGACAATCCCAGTGGACAGAGAGGAATGTACGGACATTGCCAGTGAAATGGAAATATCAACTGAAAATAAAACAAATGTATACAAGAAAACTTCATAATCATATAAAGATAACTGTCAAATTCAGAACACCAATCTTTATACAAAAAAATTAAATAAATAAACCATCAAGAAATAATTAAATGTAAATTTTGGTGTTCCAATATGGAGTTCTTATCACAATGACATCATGGCAAACATCACCTTTAGTGCATGAAATATTTCATTAAACTACTGGAGAAATATCTTAAAAGTATTAACGTATTTCTACTCATACAATGTTGAAATTCATAACAGAAACTTTCTAATTAGGCAAGAAATTACTTTAACATTCAGTATACCATTTCTGATTAATTGACAAACAGCAAGAAAGCAAGTAGCTAGATGATTGCTTCAGGATCAACATGCTATTATGCATAGCGACGTCAACCAATGAGGATGGTAAAATATAAAATTTTATAACAAAAATTAAATTATATAATACAAGTTTTTGATATTTCCAATTAATTTAAACTTATTTTACAACATTAACATAATTTTTTATTTCTTCATATTACCCAAACACACACACACTAAGGCTTTACATAATTACATTTCAATGGAATCAATAAGTGTTTCAAGAAATGATACAGGATTAGTATGTTTTAAAGTTATTGGACTTAAAAATGTTATTACTCTGAAGAGGTTTCCATCATTAGAAGTTAAAAAAATATACCGTAACTACTGCTTCAGCAACACTTGTTAGTACATCTGGACGGAGAGAATGAAACAGGATCTTCTGTTCCGTCAAAACAAACAGCAAAACATTGAGACAATTATCGGCACCAAGATTTCTCAGCAGCTGGATGAATGAAGCTCCACTGTCAAAACACAAGTCACTTTAATCGAAAATTACACTAATAACACCATCAGGCCTAACAATTTCAGAATATCATACATTTATGACTTAACTTGATTAGAAAGCAGAACTTACAGGTGAAATGTTTTTTTACAGTTGTTTCCTTTAGATGATGTTTAGCATCATAAAAACTTATTATGTATTACAAACATTTTCTCAAGAATTAAAATTATTCTGTGTATTTTAATAACAGTAAAAAAACCGCTAGATGAAAATGCAAATTTAACTTCAACCAAAATTTTATCCATTACAGAAAAAAAGGATGCTTTTGATAGAAACTGTAAAAATTATAAGCATTCATACATTTTGATTGCAGAATTACCAAAACAGAACAGCTGCAAAATATAATTAACTTTATGATAAATCCGACTGCCAAATCCGTACATTTAAACTATCCCCTTTTTTATTATACCTCCTAAATGAGCATCTCTGCTACAGATAGCTGATTAGGAAGCAAGGTTAAAGCATTCAGTTTACCTCTCTATACTGTAGTAATATTTCTCATTTTATCAGGAAGCACATGGAATAAAAATATTCCAAAAACATTGTAATTAGAAATTCCTAAATAATTCTAAAAACTAGTCCACTTTTGTACAAGTAAGATACAAGCCCAACAGACTGTAATTTGTTTTTAAGAAGCAAGCACAAAAAATATTGTCAGAAAAATAATTTTAAATCTATAACAATTTGCAAAAAATTAAAAACTAATAATTAAAACAGTAATACTCATGTATGGTTAAAAAGTAAGATTAAGAAAAACATTACTGATACTGCAAAGGGATACAGAAAAAGAGCAAGATTTGGAAAACCAAAAAAGGTTTTCTGTAACTCAATACATTAAAGGAAAGTAAAAAGACTAGCATTTGAAGAAGTCAAAAACCTAACGTTGCTAAAATTAGTAAAAAGTCCAGTGCTACAAATGATTACTACACTTCTTAAAAATTTTAAAAACCACAGCTTATCATGATAAAGAAATTTTAGAGTAAAAGCGCAGAGAGCAAAAATACATACATATGTGACATGGGTGATATAGCTTAATTACCAAAAACACAATTCAAAAATACAATAGTTTTCACTGTACAATACAGCTACAAACAACTGATTTTTCCAAAGATGAGAAGGGAAGAAAATTCACAACAAATTAAAACATGATATCTTTTCAATGGAGAAGTAACAAAACAATGGATTTAATAGATGGCCATGTGCAATTCAGTATTTTGTTTTTGAATGGAATATTTTTGGCACAGCTAACTTTTCGTTGCTGTCATACAGATCAAAAGAACTTTTGTTGGCACTCTTAAGATCACACGACAAGTCAGAATACCATCTATATCGAAACATTTCAAAAGTGGAAATAAATTTGTGTCTGTTTTTGAATTTCATGCAAAGCTACACGAGGGCTATCTGCATTAGCTGTCCCTAATTTAGACGTGTAAGACTAGAGGGAAGGCAGATAGTCATCACCACCTACCACCAACTCTTGGACTACTCTTTTACTAATGAATAGTGGGATTGACCATCACATTATAATGCCCCACGGCTGAAAGGGTGAGCATGTTTGGCAGGACGGGGATTTCAACCCATAACCCTCAGATTGCGAGTCGAGCGCCCTAACCACCTGGCCATGCTGGGCCAAAATTTGTGTCTGACTAAATGAATGGGAACAGTGGCAAGCTGTACTTGAAAAGACTTATTGCTTTGATCACTCTTTGCAAAAGTCATGAAAAGCTCTTTACACCTAGAATTAGAAATTTCCTGAAAATTTATTAGTTGCCCACTTTTTTCTCCTATCAGAATCTGTAGAAGTTAAAACTGAAGGGGTGGGGTGGGGATAAATGATAAGTCCAGGATGGTTAAATTCTCAGCTTTGGACCTGATGAAATCCAACAACCTTCTAAATTTCAACATTCATAGAAACAATAATTATGATGCTATTTGTCTTTTACTTGATTAAAAACTTATATCAAATAAGTGTTCAAGATGCAGACTCTAGATCTGTTATTCATCTTTGCAATTTATATTAAGATATAGTGTTGTGCAAATATTAATAAGCAGGAAATAGAATCACAATATAATAAAAGTCAAATTCCAAATAATTTCAAACAAAAATGTTTAGTATACAAAAAAATGTCAGTTAGTCTCTGGATTAAATTCTGATATCTTATTTAGCTCACTGCTAACAACATCATATGTAATAAATATTGAAAATGCAGCAGAAATTTAAGTATCATTAACAGAACAAACTCTATGGAAAGCCTGAAAATGTTCCTGAATTTCCAAAAACATAACGGCTATATTTTTTTTTTTATAAAAGCTGTTTTATATACAATATACTATGATTTGTTTGTTTTTGGATTTTGCACAATGCTACAAGGGCTATATGTGCTATCTATCCTTAATTTAGCAGTAATAGACTAGAGAGAAGGCAGCTAGTCAACATCACCCACCATTAACTCTTGGGCTACTCTTTTACCAATGACTAGTGGGATTGATTTTCACATTATAGCATCCACACATCTGAAAATTCAAGCATGTTCGGTGACAGGGAATCGAACCCATGACAATGGATTGTGTGTCAAGCACCCTAACTACCAGGTCATGTCAAACCATACACTGTGAATCCATATGTCTGTAATAACATTGTGTGTTATACTTTTATTACTTCAATATTTTGAATCATTAAAGAGAGATTTTTTTTTATATAACATAATGATTGGTGAAGTCTACAGGATTATGAAACTTTAGGTCTATATGAAATCTCAAAGCCAGTAGAATATGAAAATGCTAGAATGAATGACTTAGTTAGTTAACACTCTTGCTATGGGCATTCTTTTCTGTGTATGTCATGAGGTTTTACAGAGTATATGAATAAACTTGACATAAAAACACAGCTAATAATACAAATTTGATCATTATATAAGTTTTAAGTTCTTCATTTTATAAGACAAATATTTAAAAGTATCCTCAATTTCCCCTTTTATGAGAATTGTGACATTTGCTCTCTAGGCATCCCTTCTTCTCTAGTTTATGTACCACACCTCCAAGAAGTACAAAATTTAGCATAAATTATTCAATATAGTGTTGTCATCACTCAGACAAAGCATAGTTTTATAGCCTTCAAATAGAAAATCAGACCCCATCTGTCCTATCCTTTCTTTATAAGATTGCCAATAGTTCTCTCTGATGTTTAATACTATATTATTTATAACTAATAGAAAGCCAACGTTTTAATCTATTAAGTGATATTTTATATTACATTGTTTTCTGATTTTTTGTTTACAAATGATACTTAATGCCTACTGAAACTTTCAAAATTTCATGAAAATACACAAAACATGTTATAGTATGGAAACATACAAGAAGTTATAGTATGGAAATTCTAAAGGTCAATTTGGGGTTAATTTACACTAGGTCAAATTGACTGAGCCAGTAATAAAAGTGTTAACCCTATAAGACCCAGCTACAAATTGTATTCGTAGCTAAAGTCGCTCTCATCATATTTTGTTTAAAAATTAATCTAGTGGATGAAATTGTTTAAAATTTAACAAGAACATTCCTAAAAGTTTGTAGTTACAGAAAAATAAGATATTAACTTTTGATTCTTTCTACTATTTCTAATAAAAAATGTTGTTATTTAATGTAGTTATTTGCATACAAATTCTGAATAGTTCACCTGAAAGGTAATTTTCATTTTGACTATAAAAATAGTATTTATTATCTTACAGTTTTCACACTTCCTTTGCACAACCTCTAGAACCTCCTAAATGAATATCAAAAGTTTCTTTAAGGTAAATGTTTATATTTTATTTTCCACTTTCTCTCCTATATCACTAACTCTACCTATTATCTTCAATGTACACAGCAATGAAATGTTTAAAATTAAGAAATTGAAATATGTACATATTTTTTAGCTCTTCATAAATTCTTTTTAAACTTATTGTTTTCATATGCATAATTTCTCATCTTTATATTTTCACTTATAGTCCATTTTAATTTTCCTTTCCAATTCTTTGTCTTTTAATATTTATGATGATACATCAACTTAAACTTATGCCCATGGAGATTTATTATTATTATACAGCGACTCCAGCACAGAGACTAGTTTCACCAATGCTTTGCACACATGAATGATGCCTTCTCTTTATACCCTTTTACAATCCAGATGACAACAAGTTAAACTTATAAAAAATCATTAAACCTTTCAAATATGATTTTTAAAACAGAAATAATATATTATTAACTAAAATATAAAAGTAAGACCTAAATACAATTTAACTATCTCTCTAATTATAGCACATTTAGGTAAGAAACCACCATAAGTGCTATAGTCAATCAAGCAGACAACAATAGTAATGGCAGTTACGTGTATATTTTGAGGAAAAATATGAGCCAATTTCAAATCACCCATTAGTGGAGTACAGTGTAAACTGAGCTCTTCCCAACAAATATATACACTTGTGTATACTACATACATGTACCTTGTAGATCTCGAGGCAAATTATAGAATGTGGGCATGGCACCCATCAATGGTTAGAAAATTTATAGCTGTTTCCCACACAAAGCAGCTACAGACTTTAGATATCATGTGTCAATTAGGTCAAACAAACATACTTTACATCTACATACTTACGTACATTGCCACCTTATGTGGCTAAGAGTGAACTGCTGCTAAAGTCAAGATTTTTCATAGTGCGTGGATCATATGTCATGAAAACTGCAGTTTAAGTTTTTTTTTTTAAAGTTTCCTTTGAAACAAAGGAATTATAACTTTGATAACATAAAAATTCTAATTATAAAATACATTATACTGTTAATTTCATTGACATATATTGCTAGTAAAGTGCTTTAATTAAATTAATTAAATTTTGAATATAATGCAGTACCATATGCAGAGGAATTTAAAAATGAAGTCGGGGTCCACAAGGTTAATCAGTTCAGTATCAGTTAGTGAGTTAGATGGTGAGAATTAAAGATAATGTTCATCTATGACTTAGTTAAAAAACTAGTCATTGAGTAAGACTGTGTGTTTGTTATTGATCCATCCATCCGATTCTTGATAGTTGTTTTAGTTTAAGATCACTCAGGCCCTTCAGGGCCTGACAGATAACCAGGTTTGGTCAGAAACTTTTGTTTCTCTTCACCCTATTTCACAAGAAATGAATAAGGGCTTTCAAGAAATTTTTGGATCTGTGAAATGCGTGCTGATGACTTATTTGAGCCTGATCCTCTTAACCTATTGCATATCAACTTCTTTATCATGGGACAGTGATATTATTACTGACTGTTGTCACTGACATTCTTAGTTGTGGCTGTAGAGGAACACTGTGAAGGTGCCAAGATGAACACAACAAGTATGAGAGAACAGAAGACAAGTGAAGCTGTTAACACCACATGATGTGTTGCCTAGCTGGGTCAATGGCATAGACTGGAAAATGGTGATGGTATGAGCCAAAAGGCTAAACCAAGCAGACCAGTTTCAACATTGCAGAAACTTAAATGTTTCTGGCTAAGCTGTTAGAATTTTTTTGACAAGATAAATGACACTTTGATTTTATATTTAGGAAATTGAATATTTGAATTAGGTATATCATTAGTCTTGGAATTTTTGTTGAAACATTGTTTCTGAAGCTAGGCCTACCAGTAAACATAGCCTGTAGCTTGTATAGAACCTTATTGATAAAATAAATAAATTTATTATTGGTACGTGAACTGGACTAGGTATATTAGGTATATCATTAGTCTTGGAATTTTTGTTGAAACATTGTTTCTGAAGCTAGGCCTACCAGTAAACATAGCCTGTAGCTTGTATAGAACCTTATTGATAAAATAAATAAATTTATTATTGGTACGTGAACTGGACTTCGCATTATCTTTTACCAAATAATTCAAAAGAATTCCCAACAATACATGTTACAAGAAGTTATACTTTTCTACCAGTAAAACAATCAGGATGATAAAGAAATGTTGCTATTTCCATACAGTAATGCCAATTAGCCCTATCGGCATGGGTACCCTTTACTGGGCATGACACAAGATTTTAGTGTCTTACATTCAAAATTTTATTAAACTACTTTTTAATT